ACATAATAGAACAGTCGGTTGAATCAACAGTCGGTGACGCAGTTGTTTTAACGCCTATTGGAATAATTGTCTCTGCAACACCGTTAATGCAATTGTCGTCAATTCCGACACAGGGGAGAACTCTCCCACGACAACCAATAAATCTCCTTTTTAACCCCATAGTCGTAAGACCAACTTCGAGGGACCCTAGGTTGCAATTTTTTCGAAGTTTTTTGCTCCCTATAGGCAACATAGATTACTCATATGTGTTGTAGTGCAAAAAATACTTAAGCTTTTCGCACACTCAAAATATAATAAAGTCGCTATCGAACTTTATTTATTCCTAAAGTAATGTGAAAATATCGAGAAAATCCACGAAGAAAGGATAAGATGGCCATCACAACTAAATTAGGGTTCGAGAGTCGGTTATGCAAGGAAAATGTATTAGCACCCCTCACATCTGTTGTACTCAATCGTACCCATTTAGTTAGTTTTGCGAACGGATGTTAGCTTATGTTTACTTGCTATTTTTTAATTATGCGAGAAAAAGGAGAAAGAAAGAAATATGTTTTTGATTTTTTATTATTGGGCTCGACAAGATTTTACATTTTTATTATTATTTATAATTCTCATTTTCATTAATCGATTAATACCGATTATTTGGAAACTTAAAGTAACATTTCAGTTACTAAATAATTTTCATTAATTGAATAAAAAATAGAAATATAAATAATATAGTTTTATTACACTTTTATCACATTTTGTTACATAGTTTTTTTTACATCAGTAACTTTTATTACTAAAAAAATATAAAATTTTATAAGAAAGTTGCACCATCATGGGCCAACTTGGTTAAGTCTTAACCAACACCATACCATCCATTCTCCAGTACACCTCCTATTCTACACAATGGTAAGTGTAATGGGCCATAAGTTTAGCCCAATGCGCTTTTCTCTCATCATAGCCCTCATTTGCTTATACACCCCACGATTTTTGCTAACATCCCATCAGCAACATGTATGTAATAATAGTTGGGCTTTTAGCCTTCGGCCCAGTCTCAGTTCATCCTTATCACCACTCTTTTACTCACTACATACCCCCTGCGCCTAACTTTATCAAAATTGGGCTTAGCATGTCAAGCCCATCGACATCTCATTTGAGCCTTTTCTTTTCTCAACTTAACAACACCCTTTTATTTTGGAATTAATTAATATATTATGTTTTATTTTACTAATTCTATTAATTAAAATTTTAACCATATTGATTAATTGGTTTTTATCAATTAATTTTGTTAGCTAACTTTTAGTTAATTTTATTAATTGATTAAAATACATTTTTATTTATTAATTACATGATTTCACAATTAAAATCAACATTTTCCAATTCAAAAACCCTTGATCAAAATCAATGTGCATTTTCAAAACTCTTCATCAATTTTCCATCATTTTCATAAATAAATCATAAGTCTTTTTCACAATAAAAATTCAAAAATAATAAACTTTGGTTCATATACCAAGCTTTTTTCAAATTAATCAACCATCTTTCATGACTTCTTTCGTAAAAGTTTAAACCAATTCAAACTCATCAAACCTTACCCACGTACAAGTCCTCTTTTTCAAACTTTCGCTCATATGCGAACCACTTGGTGAGTCTTATCGTCCATGTATGATTAATCTCCTATTTTCATAAATAAAATCAACCAACCAACAAACATTTTCTGTAGTCGAGAACTACGTAAACTCTGACTTTCCCATAGAATTTAGGAAATACGCAGACACAAGGTTCTAACATCTTGGCGAGTCCACTTTCAAAAAACTACAAAATATTTCTCATTTCTTTTCTCTTTCCTCGCATAATAAGTAGAAGAATTGCAAATTCTCACACTAACACTCAAACACACACTAACTAAATAGTTCTCATCAAGTATGATAGATGTGAGGGATGCTAATACATTCCCTTTGCATAACTGACTCCTGAACCTTCTCTTAGTTGTGATGACCAAATATTTTCTTTCGCGGGTTTTCTCGATAATTTTCCCTTTCATTTTTAGAATAAATAAAATTTGGTAGAGACTTCATTGTATCGAATATTTTTTCGAGTTGCTTCAATGTGGAATCAAGGGCTCAAATGTGTAAAGAGGAATGGAATTTGCGTGAACGGTGAGTTAGAATGGGAGTGAGAAACACATGTCACTTGTGATTTTTATTTTTTCTACGCTGTAATCTTTCCTTTTTACTAATGTAACAATTTGGTTCACAAAGGAATTCTATTTTCATTTTATTTTTACTGCAAGTGTGAAATTATGGCATATGTTGTATGCCGCTCATGAATTTGTACCACCTACAATTTGAATGTTTGAATGAAAAATAGTTTGGTGTTATACTATAAAATTAAAATGGTTGTGATTGTCATTGTGTATGCCAAAAGTATCAAATCTTGCAATACAAATTCCGAAACCGTGTGAGTTCATGTTCAAATGCTCAAATTTTGATTCAATTACCCTTTTATTTGGATGGTAGTTCATAATGATGTATGATGACAAAGTTGTAAATTACTTGGGAATTCAAAAGTAATGAAATCAATTTCCAAATGTAACCAATTCTAATCTCAATTTCAAATTGACTTATAATGGAAAAATTATTAGAAGATGATCATGTGATAATGTAGTAATTCACTTTCAAATTCTAAAGAAGTGAAATCAATTTTCAAATGTAACCAATTTAAATTGTGAATTCAAATTGACTTCTAATAGAAAAGTGATTCAAAAATGATCATGTGTAAGCATGTGATGATGTAATAACTTTCCTTTTGAAATGAAATTAAAAAATGTCTTACTTTAACCATAAGCTATGTTACAACATGATAATTCAAAGCCAAATCCAAAATTAGATCATATGCCACTTGTCTCTTTTGAATTCAAAGTGAGGAACAACAATTGAACTAATGGAATGATAATGTATGTATGATATGAATGATGATGAAAGACAATGACCAAATAAAATAGTCATGATGCAATGATGCAAATGAATTTAACAATGTACACTATTGACAAGGCAGATGAAACTCAAAGTAACTAAACTTAATGATATGAAAAGAGTGAAGGAAAAAATTGGGATATGTCAACTGCCCATATTTAAGTATTTTTAACCGGATAATATGAGGATGTCAATTCCTCATATTATCCGGGTGGAAGATAGTTAAGTATAATAAATCCATATTTAATTTGTCCTCTAATGTAAATGGAATTCAATGTAATGCAATGAGTCTGGATGACTTCATGAGGAATTTATTTTACTGGGGATATAAAACGGGAAGCAGACTCTGTGGAGATTATCTAAGATGGCTCAGTGAGAGAGGTTTACTGGGAATCAAATGAGGTAAGGGAACAAGACTCACTGGAGAATATATCCGGCAAAAAGACTAAAGAGCATGCTCCTTAGGGATATACCAAAAGTGCTAAGGAGTTCTGGATTCTCATCGATAGAATCAAATGATATCCAGTAATCTTGTAACAAAAAGAAAAGGTTATGTCTTCTCACAGAATAAACGAATAGGTAAGTTACAGATTCTCATGTAATACAAGACAAAAAGTTCAGGCTTCTCCAGAACGAAAAGATAAGTTATGAATTCTCACGTAATAAAGTGATAAATTTTGGGAAATCTTCAACATAACTTCGGAAGTTTTAGATTCAAATTTCAAAGTCAATTTGACTTCTAATGGAAAAGTGTTTCAAAGATGATCATGTGAAAACATATGATATTGTATTAGCTTTCCTTTTGAAATTCAAAATTGTGTTACTTTAACCTTAAGCCATGTTACAACATGATAGATTCAAAGTCAGATATAAGATTAGACCATATGACACTTGTCTCTTTTGAATTCAAAATGAAGAACACCAACTAAATTAATGAAATGATAATGCATGTATAAAATGAATGATGATGAAAGTCAATGACTAAATAAAATTGTCATAGTGCAGAAATGTATATGAATTCAATAATGGACACTATAGACTAAGCAAATGAAACTCAAAATAATTAAATCTGCGATATAATCTATCATTATAATTATAGATCTGTGGTGAAAAATTGCATACGTACTATCACACTTTACCTTATCAGTATTGATCAACCATGATGGTATATCTTTTCCAACATGATAAAATAACATTTACTTATAATTACTTATAAGTGTGACATATTTACATTCTATTTTATTTTAACATTAAAGTATCTTTCTAGATATATTTTTCTCATTTGAAGAAATAACGTACAAGAAGGAATTGAGAACACATCACGAGTCCGGTTAATCCTTGTGTTTCATAAATCAAAAGGTATAAGTAATTTCCTGATACTATTACTAATACTTAAATTTTAGTAGTTAATAAGTACAAGAAAAGGTATCAAATTATTAGCAATTGGTAACTTTAAAATGTGTGAAATATTGCTTTTAAATAGGACAAAAAACAACAAGGAGATTGCTGTCTCACACAAGTCAACGAGGGGGAGATCGCATACACGTGCACACATGCCTAACTAATAACTATCACTCACGAGTGTGAAATTCCTAAAGAGTCAAAAATAGGTCTAGTGGAAGTCCAAAGCAAGCAAAGTTTAAATATTATGCCATATAATATAATAATGTATAATCCCTCTCCACCTGAGATTCAAATTTGATCACACACACATACATTATATGAATATGAATTAAGAAGCATCCTGGCTGCTTCTTCTCTCTGCAGCCAACCCCTTGCAGTTATAATATTTTTGATACTGTCATTGCAAGTCCTCTCACTTAGCTTTGTTTTCTTCCTACTCAACACTTTCCAGATTTCAGATCTTCACTTCCGAACCTTCTTCTTTCTTTCCCAACTCTTTTCAACTATATATAAATATCACTCTATCTATACTTCACTTCACATCATACTTCATTTTCTTATGAGTTTGTATTCTCTTGAAATATTGATATAGCTTATTTCTTCTTCATAGCTGTTTTGTTCTCTTCCTTAAAGCAAACACACATGGCTTCAAATATTTGCAAACCTTCTCGTCGCGATCATTCTCTAATAAAAACAACAAAATGTGCTTCAAAACCTACCCTTTTACTCAAGGACTACCTCAGGGACGACCTGAGTTCATGTTCATCCAGCGGTTTCAAATCATTCCCGCGCCGACAATGCTGCACTGCCGTTGGATTCATCAAGGAAAAAGATCTCAAACTCCAACGCAAGAAGACACTCCCTCGGCGAAGGCCAACCGTAACCGCTCTGCAGAGAGCTTCCGGCGCTGTAATAACTGCCATCAAGTCATTGTCCTCACAAAAGAGTGGTAAATCAAAGAAAGCTTCTACCGGTGTTCTTTCTAGAAGCTTCTCGAGGAAGCTGTTAAGCAGAAGGTTCTGGAGAAAAGCTGTTAAGGAAGAGGGAAGAGAAGATGTAATGAGGTGTAGGAGATCTTTCCGCGAACTTCTTATGCAGGAACGATGTTATAAACCGACGTCGTTCAATGAGGATACCGTTTTCACTCCCAAAAGCATCACCAACCTCTCTTCAGCTTGTTGTAGTAATAGCTGGGGAGAAAGTGAATTCACGTTTTCATCAAAAACTACTTCCTCTGATAGCTCCATAGATAACCTACTTGACGGCGTTACAAACGGCACTCCTCATCGGCACAAGATAGAAGCAGTAACACATGGGGTAATTCAGTCTTTTCATTTTTTTATTGTATGCTTTGCACGTGTGGAGCGTGTCTACTTGATAGAGCTGCCATGCAATTAATTTGGGGCGAGTCATCCCATGGCAGTGTTGTACACCAAAGCGCCATCCACGGCGCTCAAACTCACTGCACTTGCTGACACAGCATCACTGCACAACACTAGTTGTTCTCCAATTCAAATATAGGGGTAGTTTGGTAAATATCTTTACCTGACTAAAATTTGAATTTTACATATACCTTTATTATTTTTGTTTTGCCAAATGCTATTAATGACTTTTTTTTAGCACATTGTTCACAAATGTTGTATTAGCACATAACTTAAAAATTACATTTTCTCAAATGAAAATTTGTACTTATGAAACAGGATTGGTCAAACGAGAAGGAACAATTCAGCCCTGTTTCAGTACTAGATTGCCCATTTGAAGATGAAGAAGAGATGAAATCCAATTTCATGATCAATTCTTTCTTCCAAGGTAATTCCCATATTATTTTCAAGTCTCAACCACAAAATATCACAGAATTTGAATTGTTTTTAAATACAACAAATACATAGTTTTATCTGACAAATAAAACCAATATTTACATTTACAGGAGCAGAAAACAAGCATATACAAAAGACACGACATTTTGAGAACATATCTTCATTGGAGCCATTGGTTTTAGAGAAAAGGATCAAATGCTTAGAAGAACTAGAAGATGAGCCACACAACTATTCTTTAAAACAATGTTCATTGTCAGTAATAGACTCAATTATTGGAGACAGGAAAAACAAGGATGAGCTAAACAGTTTGATGATTAACACAGAGAAACTACTGTTTGATTACTTAGAACAAAGCATTGAAGAAAACAGTAATGCTGATTATCCAAAGGATTTTAACCTTTGCAATGTAGTTGATGATTGGGTGCGTGGGAAACCCCAAGAACCGTATTTGGGGTGGGAAGTAAATGAAGGAAGACATGTCTACATTAGTGAGATGGAGAGATGTGAAGAGTGGAAAAACTATGATCAACAAACAGAACAACTTGTTCTTGAGTTGGAAAATGATGTCTTAACTAGTTTGGTTAACGAGATTGTCATTGACCTTGTGATATGCTAGACTAGTTACTCACACACATAAGATGTTGTAACTTGCAACTACATTTTGCTTCATTTGTTTTATGTTTTATGGATTTTGTTTTTGGTCTTGTTCTCCCTATATCGGGGAAAATAGGTAACTATATAAGATTAATTAATTAAATATATTTTACAATAAATTAATTGAATGTCATCATTTTAACCCTTGATTGAACCAACAAATTTATTTGTCTTTCATGCAATCCAACATAAGAAGACCTACAAAATTGTAAATAATTGTTTAGATCAAAATTGCAATAAAAATGCAATAATAAGTTGCAGACGAAAATATGAGATGTTCGGTGAAAGAAAAAGAAAGTTTAATGGTCTATTGGTAAAAATTAATCCACAACATATAGATCTATTGTAATGCTGGGAAATTAGAATGTGTAATTAATCTATAGAAATGAGAAAGAGTTTAAATGATCAATTTTAAAGTGATGTGAAAAGGTAAAAATAAATATTTGTTCTAATTTCCAGCTTTGTGGGAGAAAGTATCTTGGGAATTCATGTGGTATGACAAGGTTTATCTATTTATTTTGTAAATGTTTATTCTTCGTGCTTGATTGATAAAAAGAGGTTATTTTGAGAGAAGTTGAAATCTTTTAAGGTTTCTTTTTTGAATGGGTTATGATGTGTAGAGGAGAAGATTTAGAAGAACTAATATTTTAATCTGAATTCGGTCAATGGTAATTTGGTGGAGGTCGAAGATATCAAAGGGGAGGTGTATGATCACTTTAAGAATCATTTTTCCGAATCAATGATGGATCGTCCCGTTTTGGACGGGGTCTTCTTTAATTCTTTATCGGAGACGGATAGAGCTTCTTTTGAAGCTCCTTTTTCTTTGGAGGAGATTAAGAGTGTCATGTGGTTAAGTGATTGTGATAAAAGTCTTGGACTGGATGGTTTTCCTTTGGGTTTTTTTAAGAAATGTTGGGGGTTTATTAAGAACTATGTGGTGAGATTAGGGCAACTACTGCTTCTTTTTTGGCACTTATTCCGAAATCTAAAAATCTGGTAGGAATGGAGGGGTTTGGGCCAATTTGTCTGGTTGGTTGTTTGTATTGTCTTATTTCTAAATTACTTACGGCCAGATTGAAAGTTGTCATTAGTAAGTTGGTTTCTCAATCTCAAACAACTTTTATAGAAGGTAGACAATTGTTCGATGGAGTGTTGGTTCTCAATGGGGTGTTGGATTTTGCTAAAAGAGAAAGGAGGAATTGTTTGGTGTTAAAAGTGGAATTTGAAAAGGCTTACGATTGTGTGTCGTAGGTTTTTCTTAGGTATGTGATGAAGAGAATGAGATTTGGTTTGAAATGGATGGCTTGGATGGAATCTACGGTGTTTACTAATTCACCATATGGTTCTCATTTGTGATAGTTTGAAATAGAATTTGGGGTACGTTAAAGCTATCTTGAGGGGCTTTGAGTTGGTGTCGGGGTTGTGCATCAATTTGAATAAAAATAAGTTGTATGGTGTTAATTTGAAGAGGGATTTGATGGTTATGGCTTCTTCTTTCTTAGCTTTTCAAATTGGAAAGCTTCCCTTCGTGTTTCTTGGTATTCCCGTTGAGGGTAATTATCGTTAAAAAGACTTTTGGACTTTTTTGATAACAAAGATGAAGAAGCGGTTGAATGTGTGGAGTGGGAAGCATCTTTCTTTGAGAGGGAAGGTAACTTTACTTAATTAGATTCTTAATAGCATTCCTATCTTCCTTCTCTCTTTCTTTAAATCCCCGAAGTGTGTTCTTGAATATATCATTAAGGTGCAACAGGATTTTTTGTGGGTGAAGGGGGATAAAGGGCGGAAATTTTGTTGGGCTAGTTGGGGTAGAATTTTTTTCCTGGTTAAAGAGGGTGGTTTAGGTGTAAAAGATATCGAAACTTTTAATTTTGCTTTGGTGATTAAATGGGGTTGGCGGTTCTTATCGGATAAGGAGGCGGTTTGGTCGAAGCTTTTAGAATTCCGGTATGGTGACGGGTTGGAGGCTTTGTATGGAAGGATAGCTAAGAGGATTTTGGCAAAAGCTTCCCTTCGGCGGAGGGATGTTAGGAAGGTTTATGGTGCGGAGACAATGGTTTTCCAATAGAATTTCTTGTAAATTGGGAAATGGTGATTCCTTTCGCTTTTGGGATCATTGTTGGGTGGGTCCAATTCCCTTTAAAGATCTCTTTCCTTTATTGTATGACAATAGTTCTTTTTCGTCTTGTTATTCTATGGCAATGATGGGTCGGTGGGAGAATAATGTTTGGAGGTGGGATTTAGGGATTAATGAAGATTTGCTTGATGGAGATGTCAGTTTTAAATGGATAGAGATGATGGCGCTTTTGGTAGAGGTTTTTCCGGTAGTGAGAGGTGTGGACAAAGTGGTGTGGTGGAGACACACGGATGGTTTTTCGATTCATAATTCTTATAATTGTCTTTTCCCTTTGAAACATCCGAGTGTGATTTTGAATGATGGAAGACTTTTTGAGTTAAATAGGATGTGAGGGGGGGGGGGGGTGTTCTTAGAAAAGTAAAGTTGTTTGGTTTGAGGATTTTGTTGAATATTCTTCCCACGAGAAAATAGATTTGCAAACGTGGTATGGAGCATGTTTTGACCGAGACCTTGTGTCCTCTTTGTCGTTTGAAAGAGGAATCAGAGGGTCGTCTATTCTTTAATTGTGATTTTGTTAGGCGGATTTGGAAGAACGTGTTTCGTTGGTTAGGAGTGGGTGTTGTACCCCCAAAAATTTTCCTCCCATTTTTCTTCAAGACATTCTCATGAGATCTCAAATACTCAAAGTCACTCAAGAGTTGACTGGTCAAACCTCCTCCTAAGCAAAGGTCTTTAATTAGGGTTTGGTGCTTCTCAAATAAGATTCGGTTGCAAGGGTCTCAAATGACTTTCATCGTTAATCATAGGTCCTCAATAATGCTTATGTCAAGTTTCAAGTCTTGCATCACATGTTTGCTCATTCAATGGCTCAGATGATTGAAAATCAACTGTATTGAGTAAAAAGTCAACTGTGGTCAACATACAGTCAAACTTCAAGATTTTTTGTCAACATCGATATTTTGAGGTGATATTCATCATTTGATTAAGAGTTGATCATGATTCCTCAAGAAAAGTTGTTGTACCCCAAAATTTGCCCTCTCACTTCTCAAGACATTTCTCACAAGGATTCTCAAAATTCAAGCTTGCATAAGTGCAATTGAATTTTTCAGCATCAAATTAAAGAGGAAGCTGTTAAAAGGGGGGAAATAGATAAAAATAATATTTTGACAAAATTGGAGAAAAACAAGTCTTCTTCGATTCACTTCCTTCGGTTGGCCTTTTGGCCTCTTTCGATGCAAGCTTGACTTGCATCCTTCGATTGGCCGTTGGCTTTGATTCACAAGGCAGGAGCTTCCTGCATGCAACCTTCGATTGTATCTTTGGCCTCACATGGTTCATAATACAATAGATGCCTATGTGTCTGCTTCGATTGGATGTTTGATGCTTGCATGCCTGTGTTGACTGGACAAATATTCCCCTCATGCTTTCTTTGACTCAAAAAGTGATGGCTGGCTGTATGTAGCCTTCGATTGAGCCACAGATTCCTTCTTGCATGCAAGAGGCGCCTACCAGGCCAACAGGCACAAGGCAAAAAGCCTCATGTAGCCTCCTTCGATTCCAAAGAAAAAGCCTCCTTTTGGCATCCTTCGATTGCACATTTTTGCCTTCTGCATGCCTTTTTCGTCTAGGTATTTTTGCTTCCTGCATGTCTCTTTCGTTTGGGCATGTGGCCCTCCTTTGTTGCAATCTTCGTTTGGGGCGTTTAGACCTCTTGCATGTAGGCTTCGACAGAGCATTAACTATGTTTATACTAGCTTCGACTGGACAACATTTCCCTTTGAAATGTTATGCTGCAATTCCACTCTTGACAACCTTCAATACACATGGTTAGTGGCCCTCTTCAAAAGACATGTATTGGAGGATTTGAAGGGTATACATAGGAGTCCTTGTCGAAGGATATACCTTACTATCACATTCGAATAATTGCATAGTCCATTCGAAAGACACATTTGGCCCTTTCAAAGATACATACATGACCCCTTTAAATTTAACCCACCGCCAAGATAGCAACCCATATAATTTGACCAGAAAAGAACTACAAATAAATTAGCTTCTGACTTATTAAATTTATGCTTTTATAGTATTCATTATTACTAGTATATATTATAATAATTTATCATAAGTTATCATGTGATGCAATATGGATAAGTGAACCATGACACTTTCACATTGTTTGTCTCAATGGAATGTGAGAGGAAAGATTCTAAAGTGGATAGAAAGTTTATGAAAAAATGAATTTTCATTGTTTGGTTACTTGTCAGAGTGAAAAGAAAATTTAATTTTATGGACCCCATAGTCCAAAATCTTTTCATATTCCACTTACTTTCTATTCATTTTCATTGCTTCTATATTATTTCCTTTTATTTTATTTTATTCTACTTTCTATTACAATCCAAACAAAGCCTTTAAAGTTTTGTTTTGATGAGAAAAAAAGCGAAAGAAACGAAAATAGAACGAAAGAATATTAGAAGAATGAAAGTGAGTAGAAAATGAGTGTAAAATAAGAAGAATTTTTAGTTATTTGTTTTAAGTGAAAGATAATAAAAAATGAAAGGAAATAAAAATGTGTATATTTAAAATGACAAAAATAACCTTATTTTAAGTTAAATAAAAACACTCAAATTACGTTAATTATCTTTTAAATTATTGTCGAGTAATATTTATTTTATCACTTAAATAAATACATATTTTATGCAAATAAAACTAATTACTTCAATATTTTATTTAAAGAATACACTCACTTAATGTTTTGTCTATTTAATAGCATTATATAAAATAATTAATATTTATTTATTAAATATTTTTACAACCATATTACTAACAACGTATTTTATATCTATAAATTTAGTATGAAGTTTTATAATAATTGAAAGGGATGTAATGTC